ACAATTTGGACTTGAAAATAGCCTTTTTAAATCTTGAGCTCCATATGAAAGTTGTAGGCCTATGTCTTACCTTTTCATCCATATAAAATAAATCTAAATTTGAGATCTACAGTTCCAGATATGACTCAATTATCAAATAGTGTTCCGGTTTGGATTGCACCGACATCTCTTTTCGAAGTTTAGCCATCTCTTTGTCCTTTCAATTTCAGTTCTTAAATTCATCAATTAATCCTTTCATTTATGTGATAGGCTTGCATTTAAAATGAACATTTACTACAAATTAAAGATATCTTATATTATTAGATATATTATTATAAAACATGCTTTAATTAAGGAGTTATTGATACTTCAAGTGTAAAAATAATAACATAAAACCTTAAGTACTAATCAGTTACAGTACAAGTGAATTAAGGTACATGGTTTTTCCAAACCAGAACATTTGGTAATTCTATATAAATTATTTTTTTAAAAGATTAAATTTTTTATAAAAAATTAATATTTTTATATATTTTGAATTGTTTTTGATATATTAATATTATTTTTTTAAAAAAAATAAAAAAATTATTTTAGTATATTTTAATATTAATTTTTTTTTAAAATAATCAAAAGCACGTGTAATGTAATGTCATAAAGATTTATATTTTTATTATTATAATTAAAATAGATACGCTTTGTATTCGATAATCGAGAAAAAGATAAGGTTTTTCTTAATAGTGCAGCACTCCAGCTGTCCTCCACCCCTTTACTGTCTCATTGGTCCAAACCCTAAAGAATAAACGAAAAAGGGAAAGTCGGTTCTAAATTAAAGTGACTCCTGAAATTACCAATACAACCTCAAAAGTGCACTCCCTTTGCCTACCTGGCATCCAACAACCCGCTTTTCAAGCCAGTAAAAGAAGAGCCTTTTCCACTTCCCAATCTACCACGACTAGTCCACCTCCACTGCTTACGTGCCTGGTCTTCATTGGATACACTATACATCTGTCGAGTAGATTGAGCGAGTATCCATCTGATTCTTTGAGCTAGAAAGTGAAAAAGTGAGTGTAGATATTTAGAGAATCAAAAATATCTGGCTAAGTCGTCCACGCTGGCACCTATGCATGACCCGTCCACCTGAATTATATATAAGATATTACTCAATTTTACATTTTGTTAACATAGTCCATATACTTTTGTGTTTTTCAAATTCCACCCAAATTATTGGTTCATTAAGAATGCAGTCCTTCCGTCCCTAATATTATAATTTTACATTGTTAAATTAACATATATTTTTTTAGCCTGGATTTATGTTTTTACGAAACTTGTCTTCCATTCAGAGACAAAATAACGGTGTTAGAGATGGAAGGATCACTTCCCTAACAAGCTCAGAATAGAGGGATAGATTTAAAAAAAATAGAAGTATAAGGATTGATTTAAAAAATATTAAAAGTAGAGGGGTGAAATAAAACCACGGTTAACTCATGAGATAGGTGCGCTTTTTCTCTCCCGAGAAGTCACCCTCAAAAACTAATTTTCCTTTCCTTTCCTTCGAACCAAACAAACAAACAAACAAACCCAACCCCTTCCCTTAATTATCTCCAATTTCTTCTCCGATTCCGATCCAATTCCTTTTTCGATTTCTAAAAAAAAAAAAATCCAAAAATTCTCCAATTTCAATATTTTTTTTCCAACTACCATGGGAGAAGAAGTGAAAATGAGTGAATACGAAATCAACGATGAAGATACCATCAACAGGGACGATGAAAGAATTGGTGTGTGGGAGATGGGATTACCTACACCTTATGATCTCACTCCTTTATCACAACCTTTGATCCCACCTGAACTTGCTTCCGCCTTCAACATCTCCCCTGAGCCTCTCCGTACTCCACTCGATGTCAACCGAGCTTCCCAGAACACTCTCTCCAATCTCCACGGTCATTTAAACGCCCTATCGTCTAACAACATCAAGTCCTTCAACGAAACGAGAGGTCAAACGCACGACCCTATGGTAGTCGAGTTAGAGGAGGAGGAGGAGGAGGAGGATGTGACCGAGGCGATGGATCGGGACGGGTCCGGATCCGAAGCCAGGAAGTTGAGGAGGATTGATTCTGAAGAGGCGGATTCAGCCTTGAGGACTGAGAATTGGGTGGATGACCCGTCATCCGCTGCGGCGAGGACTTTGAAACGGCCACGGCTGGTGTGGACCCCGCAGTTGCATAAGAGATTTGTTGATGTGGTGGGCCACTTAGGGATGAAAAACGCGGTCCCGAAAACAATTATGCAGTGGATGAATGTCGAGGGTTTGACTCGCGAAAATGTAGCTAGTCATTTGCAAAAGTACCGGCTTTATTTGAAGAGGAAACAGGGGTTGTCGAGTGAAGGACCCTCTGCTTCTGATCAGTTGTTTGCGTCCACTCCTGTGCCGCAGAGTTTGCACAAGAGCGGCGGCGGCAGCTGTGGGGGTGGGAATTTCGGAATGCCAATTCCAGTGCCTTATCATCATCCCGCCACCACGGCTGGTGGGATGATGCCAATGCCGGTTTATGGACATATGGGGATCCAAATGGTGAATGATCATGTTCATAATAATAATAATAGCAATAATTATCAGCATCAGCAAGTTAGTATGAATAGTCATCAAAATGGGTATCATGGAAATGTTGCTTTGCTAATGGGGAATAAGCATGTTCATAATAGTAGTAATAAGCATCAGCATCAGCATCAGCAAGTTAATACGAATTGTCATCAAAATGGGTATAATGGAAATGTTGCTTATGGACATATGTTTCAGCAGAGGGATTGGAATGGGACTAATTATGGTCCATACTCGCATCATCCTCATCATGCAGTATCTAATGATACTATGTGATGTTGGGAGGAGATATTTTTTTTGGAATTCTATAGGAAAAGAGGTCAGTGCTGCTTTCAGTTGGATTTGTTGGATATAAATTAGTTGTCAATTTCTGTTACTATCTGTCTGAAAGTGTATTCATGAATTAGAAATGAAGCTCTGTAGCTTTAAATTAAAGCATGACTTGGGAAAAATTCTAATTTTGAACTAGCCCTTGTTAGCATTTGATTTTGATAAGTGTGCATATATAGAATCGGCGGAGCTTGCTTTTCATTGCTTAAAGTCACTTGTAGAGGAGGTGCCTTCCACTGCAAATGCATTGCACCAGGGACCAGTGCTTTAAACTGGTTCTTCGTCAATTGCAATATTTCTTCAAGGTCACAATTGATGCTATTCCTAGGTTTGAGATACTCCCTGCAAATGTATTCCTCAACATGCCTTTGTGTTTTACTTGTTTGCTTTACAATTGATTTTATGAACACCAATTTATCAAATGTATCAATTGTCTGTATCAATGGCAATTAACATGTACCATTCACCTGAAGCCTTAAAACATTTGATGGCTGTATTTGAGCACTCATTTTCCTCCAAGCAGACATCTAGAAGACCAAGTTAACTATACACTCATCTTCTTCCAAACCCTCAATCCCAAGCTAGTTGGGGTCAGCTATATATTTATTTTCACATTGTACTGGAGCCTCTAATTTTTTTTGGTAGAAAACATCTAAGTTCAATTTATGAGCTTTTTAGCTTGCATTTTTGTCTGCGTGCATCGAGAATTTGTGTTTAAATTCTGTTGTGAAAACTGAAGAGGGTAAAAAATATGTACTGTTACAGGTTCTAAGTGACAGGGAAGGAATCCCCCTCTCCTTTAACTTCTAAATGTGCACACAAACAATCACCTAGAATATCTAGAAATCTGAAATTTTAAGATACCATCACATCACATCAGGTAGGGAGATGTCATCCTCTATTAAGCCTGCACAAAGACTTCAAGATGATAATACCACAACATTATGCTTACACTCTGTGCATTTGCAAACTGTTGGCTGATAATAATTGTTGTAATTGGGGGAGTGAAGGAGTCGTATATTTAGGGTTAATGTGCATGGCAGCATTGCTTTTAACCTGAAAAATTAAACCTTTTCTTGAATACTTACTTGCATGGCCATGATCTGTAAAGAGTTTGAATGCGAAACAAAAAATAACAACTTAAATAGATCAAAGCTTGTGGATATCTGTCAATTTGCACCCTTGAACTGAAGTAGGCTCTTCTATAGATACCAGAAGGTGCATGCTGTTGCATCTGTCATTGTCCCACTTTTATCCCAAACTTTTTTGGTTTGCCTGTATGTATTTTATATGATGTTCTGTATTGATCTGTATGTAAGATACTTTTGGGTTGGCAATTTATTCTTTCTCGTTTTTCATTTTCATGATGCTACTATGTGATAGTTTATGTGCAGAATGATTTAGTGCGGTTTGAAGTTTGCTTTTCTTTCATGATGTTATTATGTGATAGTTTATATGCAGAATGATTTAGTGCGGTTAGAAGTTTGCTTTTCTTTCTCTATGACACAAGTCAGGCACTAAACTTTTTCCAGCAAAAAAGTAGGTATTTTAATTTCCAAGTTTTGATCAGTGCTTGTGCTAGAGTGGTCTTTATTCATTTTCTTTTATTTTTCTTGTATTGAGAATGAATTCTAGAGCCTTATCTTGCTGACTAGTGTGATCTCTTTTGAGATGGTTTTGATGCCCTTTGATTTAGACTTGTAGTGATGTCATACTTACGGGTTTGCAGTCCGCCTATGTTTCGATAAGGTCCCCTTCATTTGTTCTAAGATTTACATCCCTGGTAGTTGCACACTTTCTGTTATGGTGCTTTTAGCCGATTGGCTAGAGTGTTGCAATTAACAATATTTCTTTGTCCATAGATTCTGGAGATTGAGTAACCTGGCATAACTGTTGGAAGTTGCAGAAATTTAAGCACTTCACAAAAATTAGAGGGTTTGCAGGAAGAATTGTGTGGAGACATATCGGAGGCATATTTCCAGAGATTGTTAGGTTCTGCATGGGACAAGAAAACTTGCAATCCTTTTTTGAATATATATCTCATTGTACTTACCCGATGGTAGCAGGAACCTCAAGATATTACTCATCATTGCTTCCATGATGATAAGTAATAGCTTGCATTCTTAACTTGTTCTTCAATTGATATATGCTGAATAAAGTGTGTATTATTGGATGTGGCAAACCTTCTTCTAGGGCAACATAGCAAATCTATAAAGGAACACTAAGCAAATTCAACCTAACATGTGATAATGTTTCAAAACCAATAACGAGGTTTTCTAGTGTTTGGACAATGAATATTTATATTTATATCAATATTTTATTTTTCAAAGCTTATGTGGTTAATAATTGGTGATAGAAGGCTTATCACTTGTAAAATAGTTTTCCTGAATAGGACTTGAGGACTTTTAAATGATGAAGCTAGTAACTTTGAAGAAAAGGATTATAGTAAATAAGTGAATGCACTTTGAATTTTGTAAGACAGTAAATAAGTGAATGCACTTTGAATTTTAAGAATAGAAGTGTTTATTTTTGTTTTATTATATAAATGTTCTGGGATTTAAAAATATTAATGTCTATAAAATAAAAATTGTGAACATTTAATATTGGTAGTTCAAGAAGTATTTATAATCTTTAAACATTGTTGTTATATTAGAGTGAAGGGATTTATTTCTTTTTTATATTATTAATGAAGAATACATATTCTTTATACAATATTAATGAGAGATAAATATCTCTTACATTATTAATGAGATGAAAATATGGTAGACTGTTGAGATATTTTTTATACATTTAAAGTATTGGAAGATGAATATCCCTGATATTAATATTTCATGTTAAAAGTAATATGAATAAACAAACAGAGCTTTTTAGTAGGACATATATTAACATTTCATGTTAAAAGATATAAGAATAAACAAAATAAGCTTTATGGTCAGACATGAGGGTTATGATAATCTCAAAACCTTTAGCTTTTTGTGCTTAACATACTCTCATACCCACAATGGTATGGTAGTGAGCTAAAATCATGTGAGCTAAAATCATGTCCAATTAGACTTGGCATATAGCTAAGCCCAATGTCGACAGGTCTATAAGCACATGCCTAAATAGGCTTGGCATTTACCCAAGCCTAAGGAAAATAAGTTTGGCAGTTTGTTAATCCCATGCGCTTAACATACTCTTATACCCACAATGGTATGGTAGCAAGCTAAAATCATGTCCAATTAGGCTTGGCATATAGCTAAGCCTAATATCGACAGGTCTACAAGCACATACCCAAATAGGCTTGACATTTACCCAAGCCTAAGGGAAATAAGTTTGGCAGTTTGTTAATCCCATGCCTAATAGGGCTCAACACGCAACTAAGCCTAAATGTACTAGTTCTAGCACTAGTTAGACCCATACACATTTGGGATTGGTATGGTGCCAAGTCCATGAGTGGTGAGTTCGATAGCCTACTTGACTCTTGTCCACGTGGGCTCGAGAAATAGCTAAACCAAAGGGTATTTGGCTTGACAACTCATCAGACTCATGCCTATTTTGGCTGAGTAAGTAGCTGAACCTAATGATATTTAGGTTTGATGGTTTGCCACACCCATATCCGCTTGAGCTCACCACGTAGCTAAACCTAAGAAAATTAAGTCTGACAACTCATTTAACCCACGTCTATTTACGCTCAGCACGTGGTTGAACCATAGAATATTAGGTCTAACAGCTCACTAGACCCATGTCTGTTTAGGCCTAGCACGTAGCTGAACTCAAAGATGTTGGATTTAGTAGCTCACTAGACTCCTGTTCATTCGGGCTGAGCACATAGCTGAACTTAAGGATGTTGGGTCTAACAGCTTGCCAGACCCACATCTGCTTGAGCTCAGCTACGCGTTGAGCTCTAACAGACATGGGCCTCGAAAGCTGACAGACCCAAGATCCTTAAGGTTAACACGTGGCTGAACCTATCGATGTTAGGTTTGATAACACGTAAGACCTATGTTCACCTAGGCTTAACAAGTGGTTGAACCAAGAATGTTGGATCTGATATCTCATTAGACCCATGCCCGTTTAGGCTCAGCAAGTGGCTGAACTCATTGGGTCTGGCAGCTCGTTAGACTCATGTCTATTTGGGCTCATCATGTAGTTGAACCCAACATGTTGGGTCTAACAGCTCACAAGATTAATGTCTATTTAGGCTCAAAACATGACTGAACCCAGGTTGTTGAGTTTAGTAACTTACTAAACTCATATCCATTGAAGCTCAGCTTATGGCTAAACTTAGTATAACTTACTAAACTCATATCCGATGAAGCTCAGCTTATGGCTAAACTTAGTATATTAGGTCTAACAACTTATCAGACCCATATTTACTTGGGCTTAACATTTAGTTCAACCTAAGGATGTTAGGTATGACAACTTATTAGACCCATGTGTACTTAGACTCAATATTTAGTTGAACTCAAGAATGTTGGGTTTGACAGCTTGGTAGACCCATACTCTCGTTTAGGCTCAACATCTAGTTAAATCTAAGGATGTTGAGTTTGACAACTCGCTAGATCTATAACCACTTGAGCTTGGCTCATAGTCATGCTCAAAGGTGTTTGACTTAGAAGTGACCTTGACCCATGTTTTCTAGGCTTGACATTTTGCAAAGCTTAGGGATGTTGGGTATGGATGTAAGCTTTAGTCATCTATCATTGAGTTATCACCCTGTTTTTGTATCTTTTAAACAAAGATTTAGGCTTAAAATAATTTTTCAAAATATGTTGAATTGGTAAACTCCCAAGTTTTTATATATTGAATACATAAAATATTTGAAAGGTTTTTAGCTTTTAATGAGGCTTTTTTACCTTTTCTATGTGATAGGGATTCTTGTGGCTAGGTGACTTATTTTAATTAAAAAGGAGTCTCTTGGGAAGAGAAACGATGATGTGCTTTTAATTAGCAATTGATCAGGTTCTTGGAGATATTTGGTGATATCAATGGTTATTTATTCAACAATGAGGATGAATTATTATTTCTTTTATAACTCTAGTCACTCTTACCTCTATTCTTTTCTTTTATCTTTACTCTTGTAACTTTTTTATAAAAAACAAATTGTTAAAGAAGCTTTGAATGAAATTTTTTTATTTACAAAAAAAACTTTATTATTTTTTGTATTCCCCACCTTAAGATTTTTTATTCTTTGTTCTAGTTATTTAGCCAGAAAAAATGGATTTTATAAGAGTTAGGTCCAATCTTAAAAATAGAGATGTTGCTTCTTCCAACGGTGAATTTAGCTTCCAACTAGAAATTAAGGGAAGTAGTAAAATACAAGAGCTCATTAGCCTGGATCCTAAGACTAGAGAAAATGAAACTTTAACATTTATCTCTAGAAAAGAGAAGGTATTTTCTAACCCTAGAAAAGTCCCTCCTTTATTGCCTCAAAAGGGGAGAAAGAGAGACTGTCTCAAACCCGTAAAAACACTGAGCCCAACACTTTAACAATAGAGCATGTGACCTATGTAAATGGTCAATATCCAGGAGAACATGTGGCTAAATTACCTTTAAGTCTTAAAAGGACGACCATGACCACCTCTTAATAGCATTGTGAGATAATTGACGCCTTTTGTATGAATGAGCTGGGATATTTTTTCTCTCTTCAAAGGTTCATGAGGGAAGTCTTTTGTTATTACAGGTTGGCTCTAGGCTAGTTGCATTCTAATGGATGAATTATCATGTCTGTTTTGAACAAGTTTTTTAGGCTCGTTAGACTTGAGCCTATTATAAATATCTTCAGAACTTGTTAAAATTTGATTGATGGTGCTAACAACAGTAATGACATACGTTGGTTTTGATTGATACAATTTAATTAGTGCCACTACTCTTGTGGAGTTAGAGGCCAAAGCTAATGGTAGAAGTCATTCTTTTTTGGTTGGGGGTTAAACAAAGTTTACCCCATCTAAAGTGATTGTGGGTACTACTACCCTTTGTGAAGTTTAATGTTGTAGCCTTAACCTCTCATATTACCTTATTGCTAATGCTCTTAACCTCACTTTCAACTACAAAGACCTTTTTGGCTACTAGGATTTCTATATAGGATGCTCTGCTAGAAGTTGGACAGCTTGGGCTTGAGAATGTTTTTATTGACTTTGTCCTTATTCGAGCCCTTTCCTACTTTGATTATGGATGAAAAGTATGCCATGAAGATTATTTTGGATGGGAAGTCCAGCTTTAAGTTTGAAGGCTTGGAGGTGTTGAGGAGCTTGATAAGGCTTTTGACTATTTATTCAGATGTCCAAATGATGTTTGATGAGAGCTATAATTGTTATTTTGCCCTTGCTGGACAAATAGCTTTCCATGTAAGAAACTGATTCTTGTCTGCTTTGATTATTTTATTTTTTTATTTTTAATAATCATCTTTTATATTTGGTAAACTTTTATGACATGTGCCTACTCTAAACGACATTGGATGGCTGAGAGGTGTTAAATGGGAGAAACCATCACCAAGTATAAGGCAAACCAGACTGTTTTTTAAAGGCTGAGGGCTGAGAAAACTATAATAAAATTGAGATAAGGGAGCTCATGATAACATATGTAGAACATGAGAGGTTAGGTCCCTCAATTGAACTCTACTAAAAGGAAGTTTTGTCTGGCCCGAGAAAACTATAATAAAATTGAGATAAGGAAGCTCATGATAACATATGTAGCACATGAGAGGTTAGGTCCCTCAATTAAACTCTACTAAAAGGAAGTTTTGTCTGGCTCATGACGAAATGACCTCCTTTAAGTAGGGGATGATTAAGATGAGGGAATCCTAAGAGGCTTTGAAAGCTGAGCTCCTTATAGCTAGAGAACAAGTCCACAACTCTCGTAAAAGGATAAAGGCTCTGAGGAGTTCCAAGAGATATTTGAAGGGTCTTAACGCTGAAAGAGATGGTTGGATACAAGATTCTTCTTGCCATATCTATCATGTATTTCTTTAACATGTAAAGGGGACGTCAAGTGGAAAATATGTTAGTTTCAAATTGTACTCGAGAGTAGGAGATCTAAGATTAAACCCTAATGAATTGATAAGAAACTCTTAGGCATCACCTAAAGAAAAAAAATATTTTTGTCATTTTAATAAGTCATACATATATTAAAAACTTACATTGTTATTCTCATTGACGATGATACTTTTTAAATAATCAAAGTGCCAAACATGAATGAGAC